CGACTTCTGTGGAGCTCTGGATTTCAGTCGTCTACAGCTGCAGCTCACTGGCATCTAAGAGGCTAGCTTGGGGGTGACACAAGTGACCCAGTTTGTCCTCACCACTGGGCCCAGTGTGGACCCACCAACCTAGCCCTCTGGGGCTGGATTCCACCCTTCACTGCCTCTTATCAAGGCTCTGGTGAGTGGTGAGCTGTCGCTCGTCCCTGTGCTATTCCTTTGGCCTGTCATCACCTGCACACACTTGATTAGGGGATCCAAGTGACTTACAGGGGCTCCTCTTCCCCAGGGTCGGCATTTACATAGGGTGATGGATGCCGAGGTGTCATCTAAACACATCCGCACTTTGCATTTTAAACAAAGCAATTTCCAGAGGAAGCTGGAGAGCTTTGTCTCTTTCCAGGAACATGTCCTCTGAGTCAAAATCATTTTCCTTTGGACGGTTCTTTCTACCTCTGTCCTCGGTCCCTCTCCTCTACTGGCCTCCCCCTTTCTCCCACTCCCCCCACCCCAGTAGAGACCTCAGTGTGGAGCAGAGAGCATAGTTGCATGGGACAAAGATGAAGAAGGACACAGGTCTCTGGTAAGGGCCAGAAAAGATTCACTCAGACCCCTTTGCCTGTACCTGACCCTGGTGTCCTCTCCTTGCCCCAACCCCACAGAAGATCTGGTATTCGGAGACGATATCCAGGGCCAGGTGCCTAAGATACATGCTTTGAAGGACAGAAAATACCTGCTCCAGACCTCCCTATCCCACTTCCCAAGGAGTAAGCAAAGGGTTGTCCCCTCGTTTCTTTGTTTAGGCTGGGGACGTGTGATTCCTTCTGTGTATGTTATGACCTCTGAGATCATACAGTGGAAATGTTTCCTCTTAACAAGGCTAAGCAATCTCCCCAGGGACCTTGAAGATGATAAAAATATCACCATAACATTAACCTGTACGATCAGGCTGATTTTTGTTCTTCTCCAAGAGACAAGCAAAGAGGAATAAGATAAGAAGTTTCTAGATTCCACCCCCACCACAGGAATGTGGTTGGAAGGCCAGCAGCAGCATCGTGGCTAGAACCTGTGGTTTCTATCTTTCATCAGGTAACTTACAAATGGCTCACTGAAACTTGACCAGACCCTGAGCTGTCTACATACAAGGGTTGTGTAGGGACTATGGCTTCTTCTAGACTTCCAACCCACTCCTTTTCTACTGTGTAGCAGTTAGGCTACACAAGAGACAGGTCCCATCTCAAACTAGTCAGAGTGACTCGTGGGATAGGCACGAAAACCATTGGGGTTCAGAAAGGATATTTCCCCCTTCTCCCCGAGTCTATGGAATAAAAAGCTATCAGCATTTTTGCTGCTATGAAAGAGGCCAGCTTGAGAATGAGGAGGACAGAACTGAGAGAAGGAGAAGAGTAGAGCCAGAACCCTATTGACTTTGTGAACTTCTGGATCACACGAACCCTGCCAGATGCTCAAACCCTTCCCCACTTCTGGACTTCACATATATCCACAGCAATAAACCCAGCAAACTGGTACAAGTTGAAGTGTTTCTTAGAGGAAAAGGCAACCTGGTACGATCCTCTTCGAGTTGAGACCCTCCCCTCTACTCCTTACTGGCCCCGAGTATGGCCAGAACACGGGCTATGCTGTCAGCATTATGCACGTGTACACAGATGCGTTTCAGTTCCAAGTCACGGAGTTGCTTCTGTTCTGCATGTATGTTATGTTCTACTTCTCTGACACTAATAAAAATAGCCCCTCACCATCAGTAGAAAATGCATAAGCAGTAGGGGAGCTGCTTGCACTGCACCCTACTTCTCAAGTTGCATCCCTGGGCTTTGCTGCCAAACACACCTTTTCAAGGCCCACATGACTCCCAGCACCTCCAAGGCTGAGCTGGCTGTCCCCATGGCCTCTCCTGGCACCATTCTGCAAACCAAGGGCAGTGCTGTCCAGGGAACAGCAAGCCCAGAAAGAGAATGTGTGAAGAAACTCTCCAATAGGCCGTTTCTTATTTATTTGATTGCAGATACACGGGACCAGGATGGGAGGGTCCTATGGTCTTTGCTTTACACGGGGGTCTTTGGGGGAACATATACAGAGGCAGAAATACGTACAGGGGGTGATGCTGCGACAAGGGACTGCCGTTTAAAAAATATATACATCTTAAGAAGCCATTCCAGCCATATTATCATTAGAAAATAAAACAATCTTTCCCCATAGTGCTTTTCTTTGGTGCTGTTCCGTGGGCATGGATCCTGGGCCTTCAGGTCTTCTCCTGTTTGTCACCTCCCCTGCCTGTTCTGCTACTTGCAGGGGGCTGGGGGAAGCATCTGGGTGTAGGTTCTAGCTCCTCTAGGGCCCTGCCACAGCCTCCAAACCCTGATCTGGGCTTGAGATCTGCTTACTTGGTTCTTAAATTGCAGCCTGGGAAAGAATCCAAGTTTCCCATTTGCACAAACTGGGAGCGACCATGGAGTTCACGCAGGACAAAGCCAGTTGGGAACCTTCGAAAAGGATAAGGACAAGGGGACCAGACAAAACCCAGCCAATACCACCTTCTCCATGGTTGGATTTTCGTTTTATTTCTGGTTCATTTCAAATGACCTGTACCATGAGCACAATTCAGAAGGGCTGTTCCCTCTTTACAGAGTTTCCAAAATGGCGTACCTGGGGTTAAACTTGGGTTCCCTCGTGTTTGGCTGGGGGTGGAACAGGACCTCCTGAACTCTCACTTCCCCCTTCTTGCACTCGGTCTCTCCCATCCCTTCTGCAGAAAGGCTCCACGTCTGGCTACTTTCAACCCAGAAATTGGCCCCTGCACTCTCCTGGCCCCACCAAACACACACGAGGGGGCCCTCCCACCGGAAGTTCCCGTTACTTCCCATACATTTCCTTCTGCACCTGGAAATTTCCGGGTAAAGTTGCTCCTCCCCAGGTCCCCAGCCATCAGGGCTGCGCCCCCACCCCACGAGAGGCTCTAATGCAGGGCGCGTGCAGAAGCACCAGTTCTGACAAGGCAGAGCAGTCCTGGGTGACACCCATTCACTCCACAGCAGAGACGCTTTCCTTGGGAAAGATGAGCTGCAGATGCCAGTTGTGTACAAGCCCGCGGTCCCCTCGCTTGTGCAGAGCAGGGGACCAGTGATGAGATGCCACATGCTGTCCCACCCCTTCAGTACACAGAACTGTGAGGTCCCCACAGAGCACGCCCTAAGTCCTCACTGTGAGGTTCTCTACTGTGGGGGCTCAAACCCGAAGGGCACTGCCCCTAGAGGCTCTGTTTTTTTTTAGAGCTGGTCTCTTGTTGCAGAGGTGCCTGTGCCTTAAACTGGGCACCCTCCCAGATCAGGCACAAAGGGCAGCTGCACGGAGGACCAGGGGGTGAAGCCTCCAAGAATGGAACTCCAACGCTGACATGCTCAGGATTCCCCGCAGGCGAAAGGGAGGGCGAGACACACTTTAGAGGGTGAGGTCTGTGTAATCCTTGACATTTCCAAGGTGGGGACACCAGAGGTGTCGGTCACCTATGTGGAACAACCCAGAAGCCCAGACCAGGAATTTCTGGGGGGTGGAGGGCCAAAGGGCTGGGACCAGCTGCAGCAGCTTTGTGAGAAAGCTGCTGAGGTGCGGCCCAGCCCCCAGGTATCCTAGGGGTGAGGAGAGGTTAGTCAGGAGGGCAAGGTCGGGGCTCTGCAGGAAAGGCCTCCCAGGTGGGTCGCTCTGCGTTGGAAGGGGCATCTTCCATCTCAGTGAGCTGTCCCCTTCACACTCAGGAGGTTCTCTACAGCGCCCTTGGCCATGTCAGCACAGGTTCGGGCTGACTTCATGGCCACCCACGGAAGTAGGGCGACTGACTGTCCCCCTTAGCCTGGGGTTGAGGGGTCTCCTGGGACACAGGACGTGTGATGCTAAAATCAGGACAGTCCTGGGCAAACAGGACTGTGGGGCCCACCAGAGGTCTGGGCCTTCTCAGACTGCCTAAACTGTTCTGGTCTTTGACCCCCCCCCCCTTGACAGGGGTCAGGAGGTGGCCCCTGCTGTGGCACCAACATGCCCAGCCTTTTGGGATGCAAGGCGGATGCCCTCTGCAGTTGTCCGCCGCCTGAAGCCAGGAAGGATCTGCGGGCTGTGACCCACAGCTCTCGCTTCAGGGGACCCTGACTGCTGTCTCTGCAGTGGGGTCTTCTGTGCTTGGCTGGGGCCTTTCCCAGCCCCGCCTTGATCCTCCGAGAACTGCCAGCCTAGAATTGGAGTGCCACAGTGCGTGGGGATGAACTTCTATGGCACCTGGGCTGGACCTGTTCTTGAGGAGGAGGGGATGGAGGAAGGGACGGAGGAGGGGGTGGTTCTGGGGAATACGTCCTGGCTCCTGCTCTTCTCTGGGCCAGCATGCTCCTGTCTGCGGGCCCTGGAGTCACCTTGGCTGGCTGAACCCACTGAGTGAGCTCTGAGGTAGGGTCAGGAAGTAGCAGGGACTCCTGGTCGGGAAGAGGAGGACGGGGGGGCACGTGCAGCGGTGACAGGCAGATGGGGGCAGTGCCCAGGAAAACGAGCGGGCTCACTCGTGGTGTGCCCTGGCCGGAGCGGAGGAAGGATGGACGGAGTAGCTGTGTGGACTATGCAGGCCCAGGAGGACCTTGGAGCAGGCAGGGCCTCTGGAAGGATGCTGCTGTCCCCGAGCGCCTCTGCGAAAGGAGCACCTCCAGCTGGCCCTCAACCTGAGTTTGCCTCTCCTGGACACTGGGAACCGCCCAGGGCGGGAGGGGCCAGAGTCAGGAAGTGTCCATGCTGCCTCTTGGGGGTTTGGGAGCGGGCACTGGGGGGCTTCCTCCTCTGGTGATCTCAGTCCCAAGAGAAGTCAGCCCTGACCCAAGCCTCAGCACTGCCCAAGGCAAAGGAAAAACATACCAAAGAAAAAGCCAGTTACAGATGAGCCCCACGCCCCTGCCCTGCCCTCCCTCCCCGT